ACGATTGATTTATTCTTAGGTCTCGGTACTAACTCCCAAGTTTGATTCTTTTCTAGAGAACTCATCTCTTCTTTCATAGTCTCAAGCCACTCCTTAGATTGACCACTGTTCATAGCCTCTTCAAACGTTTCTGGCTCCCTATCAACTAGTTCTTCGTAACTAGTGTATGCAAAATCCAATTCAGATTCATATCCGAATCTCCTAGGTTCTCTCGTTTGTCTTCTCTCTCTATCTCTATCTCTAGCTAAGTTATAGTTAGCTAGTGGATTTTCTTCTTTAGGATGCTCTTCTATCAATACTTCATTGTCCTCTTCAGGTTCTTGGACCTGAATCTCCACCTCACTCGAAGTACTAGGTACTGATGTGTTAAATTTTCCTAACTCCACCTTAAATCGACTTCTTTCTTCACTTGATTCAGTTTCACTTACTGGTTCGATTTCGTTCTTTAGACAAGGCATCTCTTTCTCATTAAATGTGACATCCCTACTCACGATGATCTTAACTCCTTTTTGGTTTCTATCCCATAGCCTATATCCCTTAACCCCTTCGGGATATCGTAGAAAGACACACTTCCTGGCTCTAGGTTCTAACTTTCCCTCACTTTGATGAGAAAAAGCAGCACGGCCAAACGCTTTAAGGATCGAGTAGTCACCCAATTTTCCAGACCATTTCTCATGTGGAGTATCACCATTTAATGCAGCTGATGGAGTCAAATTTATTAGATAACAGGCAGTGACAACGGCTTCACCCCAAAATGACTTAGGAACCCCAGAACTTAACATCATGCAGCGCACTTTGTCTAGTATGGTCCTATTCATTCTTTCTGCCACCCCGTTTTGCTGGGGAGTATAAGGGACCGTTTTGTGCCTTGTTATTCCACTTTCTTTACACATTCTATCGAATTCAGTATTACAGAATTCTAGGTCGTTATCTGTCCTTAAAAATTTGATCCTCTTGCTAGTTTGGTTTTCCATTTGTTTCTTCCAATTGTTAAAGTTATGGAAGGTTTCAGTTTTGTCTTTCAATAGATAGACTCACACTTTCCTGGTGTAGTCATCTATGATAGATAGGAAATACCTATTCCCACCCGATGTGGGATTACTAGCAGGACCTCACAGATCAGAATGCACATATTCAAGCATGCTTTTAGCCTTATGCGTATTAGTGGAAAACGACACTCTATGGTGCTTTCCAAGCACACAGTGATCACAGAAAGATAGGTCAGACACACAGTCATTACCAAATGCACCTTTTTCATTAAGTAGCTTAAGTCCTTTAATGCTTACGTGTGCAAGCCTACTATGCCACGTGTGTGTGTGATCGATTTTGACGGAAGAAATAGAGGAGTTTGATCCTCTAATCACTTCCTCAGTAGTGATATAAATGTCGTTTTTCTTGATTCCCTTAATAGAGATTAACGCACCCTTCATCATTTTAAACATACCGTTTTCAATTTTACCGGTGAAGTTGTCTTTCTCAAGTCTTCCTACTGAAATTAAATTCCTAGATAATTCCGGAATATATCTAACTTCCTTTAACACGTACACAAAGCCTGTGTTAAATTTTATCTTTATATCTCCAATTCCAGCAATTGTATAGGAGAAGTTATCACACAGAACTACTTGCCCATCATTAGATTCTTGCAAGTTTTCAAACCAGTTATTTTCAGATGTCACATGAAAAGACGCACCAGAATCTAATATCCATTCATGCATGTGAGAATTAGTGGTTAAGTTTAATTCAGTAGTGTATGCGACTGGACTAGTAATCATATAGACTTCACCGTTTTCAGTATCGGAGGTAGAGGATAACACATTTACCTCATCTCTTTCCTT